GCTTGTTACTTCGACTTCAAAGTTGCTAAATTAAGCAGCACAAAAAATTGAAGGCCATATTTGCCCTAGCTTTTAAATTGGATCAAAATAAATTCTGATTACTGCTAGCGCTTTAATTTCTGTTTGTAGCGGTTTGTAGTTCGAGCTGTTTTCCGTCAGTGTGCGTTTTTGTAAAAATTAATTGCTTTAGAGAAAGTTCTGCAGAGTGGAAAATTCATGCAAATTTTCTCCAAGTATGGCAAGCTCCCAGTTGAACTAGAAAACTATTTCTTAAGTACAAAGACATAAATATTCCTTGCTTAGTTGATGATCTCAAAATATCAACTTTCTGGTTAAGCACCGGTAATTTTTTTCTCCTCCACCGATTTTGAAAATTTGAAACATATTGAAATTTCATATTCGTTTTAAGATAAAAAAATCACAAAAAACACTGTAAGATTTTAAATGGTGATTTAAGAATTGCGCCCTAAATCCGGATTTCTGGTTTTAAATGAAAAAAACAAAAATCATATTACTTTCTTTAAAATGTGTTTAAAACTCCGCAATTCGTACAATCCTGTATATCGAAACTTTGTGTTAAATTAACCATAAAGTTTTAATTTTAATATTAGCCGTAGATTAGGCAAATGGGTCCAGGAGAAGACAAGTTCACACTGTGGGGCTGAAAAGGTGACTTAGGGTTACTGTGTAAATGAAAAAGATAGGAGGAAAAATAAAAAACTCCTTTGATAACTCAGGTCTTTGCAAAAGAAATTGAAAAAACTTTGGTTTTTTTGAGCTGATTGCGTATCAATCTTGCAGAAATTTTGCTTTCAAAAGTTTCAGTTTTTACCCTCTAGGACTTTATTTGCAATATCAAATTTTCCCGTGTGTTTTTAATATTTTTAAATAGTTTAGTTCGGAATAGAAGGGCCTAATAGTTAAGGAACTAATAAAAAAATCGAGTTATTGAAACTCATCCCTGGAAAATAAGTTACTTTAGACAGTATATTTTCCAATGAAATTGATCGAGAAACAAATAAAACAACGTAAACTGAAAATGAATAAATTATGCAATTTGTTAACTGTTTTGGTTTGTAAAAACTCCGAGTTCACCATTAAATGATCCTAAAACATATCTTTAATTTATTAACTTTTTTACATTCAAATCTCTCTAGAGAGCAATAAATCCATCGAGAAGAAAATAATTCAATTCATATGTATTCTCCATTTCGTATTCAGTTGGTTTCATTAGGGCACGGTAATTTCGGTATGGAAATTTATGGAAATATGCATACGATTTACTTTGTTTCGCTTTTTTGCAAACGTGAAAAAGTGGCACGGGCGTAACTCTTAAAGAGTTTCGAAGTGAAATTGCCTTTTGGGCGAATCGATGTTAATTTCGAAAGCAATTTGCCCATTGAATATAACCGATTTTTGACGAAAAAACTGACTGAAACTTCTGAGTGTTTATCGCCAGTTTTTTTTGCTCAGTTCATAAAAATATTTTGTTATGAAAAATGGATACAAAGGGGTTGAAATATTACGCGTAGTTAACGCAATAATGTTTACGATAAGTAATTGCCTTCGGTCTACATTCTAAATAAATTAAATAAATATTGATCAAAGGTTCTCATTTTTTAACCAAGTATGTTTGTATGCGCGCCTAGAGTTGTAAGGCAATAAGCACGCTTTAATAAAAAAAAGTGTTAACCTTTATTAACGAGGCACGTTTTGCGGCAGCGGAATTGAGCGTTTGAATTCCGGAAAAATCGTTTGCAAACATTGCCCGGCACGATAAATCGAGCGTTGAGACTGAAACGTCCCAGTAGATTTTCCATGCTTTCGAACTTCCGGCTTTCATCGGAATTAGGCCCTGAAGAATTCCCCCGGCTGCAAACGGCCATTGAATTACCGGCTCATTTTTGCCTCGTTGTTTTGCGATATTAACACTGAGGTGCCATTTAAGTGACTGAAATTGAGTTTGCAACATTATTGACATCCACCGGATATTTGGAAGTCTATCCGATTTTTACGCCCGGCCGGTACACAAAAGCTTGATTAATATTAGGCGGAAATTGGATCGGGAATGAGCTGCTTTGAGACCATCCAAATTAATTGTTTGACTAGTCATCTCAATCACGCTAGAAAAATCTTCGATCGAGCTTAGTTGCTGTGTGAATAGTCTATTGATGTTCGATCTTTGGAATTTTGCGAATCTAATCACTTTCAACAATAGTATTTGATGCTGGTTTTTACACTTTTAGTCGAAGTATTCGAGATATTTTGTAATAGAATTTTTGTATGGAAAAAAAGATTCGAAACTCCATAGCGGTTCAAAAGGTTCAAATCAAAATATTGTGAGAATGTTCTAAAGGCGTCAGATGGCTGATTTGGGGAAAAACGTGTAAAATGTTTGAGCAGGGAAATAGATAGGAGGGGCCTTACGGTATAAAAAACTTAATATTCCCTTTTCCCATATAAAGAAACTTCGAAAATTGGCCGAAATGTTTTGAATAGACGAATTTTGAGCTTTCCAAAGTCGGTCTTCAATGGGCTGGGTGTTCTTCCAACGAAGCATGCTAGCAAAAAATGTAGCGCTAACTAAAACGTCCGCCAGGTCAAGCAGTATATTCAGGGAATTTTTTAATGCCCTAGATGGATGGTTTGGGAAAAAATGTGGAAAATGTTGTCTGCAAGAATCTCAGTTATTTCTCAAGCTTAAACTATCAGAAAATTTCTTAGTACGCCTCTGGATAAACGGGACAAAATTGCATAAAAAAGTTAATAGCGACAGCTTTTTGATTACTAAATTGGCCATTTTCACAAGGCAGGTGAAGTTTGAAAACATTCGCTTTTCGCCCAAAAGAGTAGAAAAAAATCAAAGCTTGGCCAACATCAGGCTTTGGTGTTACTCAAAGTTGATATTTTCTTTCCTTTTTCCCAAAGAAAGAGTCTCAGCAAAAAAGGTTCTATTTCGGTTCGCATTTCGCAGAAAATTTCCAAACCATTGGCCATTTTTTAACTAACCCTCTACCACACTATACAACATCTTCCTCAGATCGTCCTCAAAGAGTTCGCCTTTTTTGAATAGTGGAACGATCAAGGCATATTTCTGATAATGTGAATCCTTACGTTCACTTTTACTAACTACATTCCCTTCACTGCAGGTTTAAATCACTTATATCAAGCAAACTTTTATCAGGGAAATTAAAATAATGAAGGCTCCTGGTTCTCCCCTAATATCTAAAAAGCTTCCAGATGATCTATCTCAAAAATTCATGAAGTGTTCAATGATTTATTGTCTTTTAACCGCTTTCTCAGTCGACTGTTGAACTCAAAATTTGCCGGTTTTCGCATTATAACGGGCAACAAAGTAAAATTTAAAAAAACCAGTCAACCGCTTAATTTTGGAGAATTAATTTCTCTATTAAAAATCGTATTTTGTTTCAGAATTTCCAATAAATCATCATTATTTAGCAAAAAAATATAATTCTAACAAAGTGTATATTTAATTTGATTTCGAATATTAATATAAAACTTAAATAAAAATTAGGCATTTTATTTGCTATTTCGAGTAAATATCCTGCCTAAAAACACAAATATCACGTTCCAATAATATAAGAATGAAAATTTAAAAACGGAATTTTAAAGCTGATACCAAACATACAACGTTTATGGATAATGGTCGAGATTAGGAAAAAGGCACGTAATAATAAATGGTTGGGACAATCCAATCGATTCGATAAGTAAATGACTGCATAAAACATGGAGTGTCGAATACAAAACGATACAGTTCTCCTTTTGGTGTTTCGAAGCCATATTTGAATCGCCCAGTCATGTTTGAAGACTTTATTAATTGTTGTTGATTTTCTAGCGTAAATTGCTGATTTCCTTTGCTAGAACTATCGACGTTCAACCAACAGTTTTCACTGGTTTCTTATACCTCCACTGTAGCAAGCTTTTCATTCCTAAACTCAGTCAAATTGCTGATGATTGGTAAAAAAACACCAATTCCAAATAGCAAATCAACACATAAAGGCAAACAATAATGCCGTCAAATATATCAAAATACGTAATAAATGAATAAAAATGAGCATGTATGAATAATCAAATATTATTTCCTCGAATAAAACCGCAGAACGAGTGATGACATTTTAATGGGTTGCTCAAGTGTAAACTTCTGGGGGATACATCAGGAAATTTTGCAAAACAGACATATAAATCTTGGAAAATTTGCTTCTGCTTATTTTTAATCAGGGTTCGCTTATGGCTTTGCCTTGACATAATCAGATATGGCCATTATGGCCCATATTTATTAACAGCGCTAATATACATGAAATATAGAGCCTTGCGGAGGGAGAAAGTAAAAGGCTCTTTATGGCTTTAATACAAGATAAATCTTAAAATGGGCCCATAAATCAGGTATTGAGGCCCCTTTTATTGACGCACATTTCGAAAATATATTTTATATTGGCGCTTTTTTTATTAAAATGTATGGTTTTATGCGGAAAACAATATTCCCGCTGGCATGGAGCAGGCTTTGTTCTAAGCAGGAGAAATGGTCGGATTTAGTTATTAGCCGTGAGGTTTGCGGATTTTGCATGCATGCAGTTTTAACAGCAAACATTTAAGCCCTGATTTGGGTTAAAATTGATCAGCAAAATTTCCAAATTCTTCATAAAGCTGTGCAGTTCGTGCTTGCAAACTCTTTAAATCCCTATGAATCAACCACTGACTCTTCTACAGGCAAAGTAAATAAATCCATGTAAGTAGCAATAAAAGTATTGGTCGATCCCACATAAAGTTCCTTCCGGGGTTTAGTTGAAATCGAATATTAAAGGATCTTGATACCAATAGTAAAACACAGACACAAATTTCTTTCGGAAACTTTACGYAGTTACAARGGTCAGATGGTCCAGTTTGAGCTCGAATTACTGCGGGCAAAGGTCAACATATTTCCGTTTCCATCAAAGGATCGCAAAAAGGATAAGYAAATGAGGGATATGTCTCTCTAGACATTCGTTTCAGTCTATATTTTCCGTTGGATACAAATGAGCCAATTTAACTTGTAAGCTCAAAAATAACTGGACATGTGGAGGAATGCTCCCTCTATTAATCGTGCCCCTTGAATCCTCTGGGATTAGATCTGTGTGTTATTGTTCATTTAGGCAATTTTTTGCGATGCCACCTTGTCCCTTTCAGCCTCATTTTGRGAGTTCACACGCGAATTGGGGTTGGGCTTTTTGTGTTTGTCCTTTCCAAATCAGTTAATGTGACAAAGAGTTTATATGCAAATAATGTTCACAAAGAGACATAATACACTTGTACAATTCAACAAAAAAATTTATGGGGGGTTTTTATCTAACAATTTAYTTGGGTTTCTTCTCCGCTTGCGCTGGGTTTGAGGAAAAAGTCGAATACACTCGAATCGAGGGCAAATCGACTAAACTAACTTTGGACTCGCTTATAATATTCCCTGGAGGTTCTTGCTTCAAAGGCATTTGTGGTGCTTTTGGCACTTTTTTGGCAGCTTTTTCCTTTAAAGCCCTGACTCGTTTTCTTCCATCTTGTGACTCTGCCGAGGTCGTTGTGATGCTACTTGCCACTTCCGATGAAACCACTTCAGATGACATGCTGTGTGCTTGACTCGATTCTAGCGAAGAAGCAACTGCACTGACTTTTTCTGTTAGCGAATATGGGCTGGTTTTGGGGCTGAATCTCACTTTGCTTGGATATGGGGTTGCAATCGCTGAAGAAACCTGTTGGGGGCTTGAAAGCATTTTGTCTTCCATAAAAATATACATTGCATACGTTTTTGTCGGCTTCTGAAGGCAAACCCAAGCAGACACACACATGCTCCAAGCACAAGCAGCATTTGGAGTCTTCACCAATTGTGGAAGTTTCCTTAGGGCTGCTGGTTTTGTTAGTGAAGCTCCCACTGGTAAAGACAATGCTCTCTTTCACTTCCTGGAAGTTATTTATGATTCCAAGCGTCATTTCTTGCATTAAACGTTTACTTTGAAACCAGTCGGTCTAATGGGCACAGCATCACAAGCCCAAGTATCTTTTGGAGATGGCTCAATGGGCTGATCCGGAACCCATTCTGGTCGGGTGATGTCTGGGATCTCTGGATGGTGGTAAAAATTAAACGACAGAAACTTTACTAGGGCATCGTAGGCGCATTGAACCACAAACTTAACGGTTTGCTTCTTCAGGTAGCTTTTGAAGCATTCTTCCATCACTCGGTCCATCAACTCTTCCCTAATGGCCAGAACATTGCTGTAGGTTTCTTCATCTTCTTTGAGAATATCCAAAACACCATCATCAGTTAGGGCATAGACTTTCTTCAAAGTTGCTCCTTTATGATGGATGTGTCGCATTTTGTCAAACTTTCCTTGTCAGGTTTAGCCTCTGGTGTCTACATTGATTGCGTCAATGTTCCAAAAATCTTCTGAATGTGCGATTACACAGAGGTACTTACCTAGAAAATGATAAATGGAAAATAAATTATTCCTGATTATGTTACAGCCAGTTAAGATTAACGAAATTAAATCCCTGCTCATTAAAGCGGCAAAATAGGGAAAAGGGTTGACGAATTGAATAAGATAAAATATCCGAGAAGAGGCACAATCTCCCTGAAAGAGAAGCGTTGAGGGTAGGATTGCAGCGGATTTTCTTAGATAATGTATATTAGTTGAATTAGGCGTGTTAAACGATATTTTATATGGGAATTATAGGCACTGAGCCTGAAAAGGGGCCTATAATTTTACGTCAGGAACGTGAAGCATTGAGCTCAATTGATTCAGGATGGAAGTGGATGGAGGTAAAGAATGTTTTTTTATTTAATTATTGTAGAAGTATGGGGAAGTGTTTGAAGCAGTAATGGATAGAATGGATAAGGCAGATGAAAGCAAAATATGATCAAAATTCCTTAATGATACAAAAAAGAAACGTATACTTATGCTTGTTAATCAATATGCTTTTAACAACTGAAGCAGTCAATATTACAAGATTTGCATGAGGATCCTTATTAATTATTTACCAATTTTACCATTAAAATAAACTAATTACATGATTTGTCATTCTGCATTAGATTTTCCAATTCAAATTCTTTAAGGCCGTGGCCACATTATTTCAAGTGATTAGCTTCAGGTTACCTCCATGGCCACGTTTTTTACTGGCTGCAAGAACTGACTAAAAACTTCTTTAAATGTTGAAAAATTGGTCAAATTTTACTCGACCAAAGTGGACAGTCTTGTGTCGCTAATCTTAATTGATTTGTTTGTACAATAGACTGTATGCAGTTTAGTCGCACTTGGAATTAGCGATTATTTTCCTTATGCAAACAATATTTACTTAATAGTTAGCATAACGGCAAAGATTGGTTTGCAAGCAACATTGTTGCAAGTAAGTATTGTCGATTAAATGCTAATTTGATTGTAAAATGTTCTCGTTGCAATGTACTTTTTAGGCATGTTTTTCCTACTTAAGTTAAAACGCACTTGAATCCTTTAATATTCAACAAATAAACCCGATCAATTATTAATTTGGGACCTTCAAATCTTTTAATTTTAGAGGCGTAAAAAATTGATGGTGCTACTTAGTTTATTGCACTTTCAATAAACGTTGTAAGTACATAGATTTATATGAATATTAAACTATTTTTAATGAAAAAATTTTGAAATTGCCTAATTTCCAAATAACACTTACATAACTTGAACTGAAAAGTTTTCAGTTATAGAAAATGTATCATGCAAATTCTCATGTTTGTAACATTGGGGAAGGGATGTAAAACCTTTCGATTCTCTATCCTCACTTCATCGAGTCCCTAAACCTAAACAAATTAAAACCATTTGAGAGAACTTTTAGAAGAACTCTGAGGCATCCACGCCGAAAATTGAAGATTTGCTTTCTTATGAAAAAGGGCGTCTATTGATTCATCCTATTGGTAGAATTTTAGCTTCAATATCAAAATTTATCGCTTAAAATAAGGCTGATTTAGATTCTTGTGGGTCTCAGTCTTTTTTGCATTCATTCTTCTCCAAACTTGCTCGTTTACATCTGTATCGATCTAGAAGTTCCCCAATAAGCGCTTATTTATCCACACCTCAAACTAAAACTGGAAACATATAGAAGACACTTATTAATTGAGCCTCATAGTGTTTCTCGTTTTCGATTCGATCGAGAAAATTATTCAAAATTAAGGATTGGAAAACCATTAACACACAACAAGCTCTTTTAACTTTAAAATCTGCACACAAAAAACTGGAACAAAAATGGTAATACATTCAAAATTATTAAAGATATGCCTGCAATTTTGTTGTCAATACATATAATTTTCACGCTTTAATGGTAAATATATTCCTGACAAAGACGGTGCAGGAAAACAAGCCCAAATACTCAAAATAGAATTGACCAGAAACTAAACAATGAAAACAGTCGGAACAGGAACTGAATAAATCGAGTAAAATCGCATTAAAAAAAAAGTATAAATTTGCGAAACAAACAATAGGCAATTGGATCGAAAGTAACAAAATTTATAAGAAAAACGGGCTGCAGTCGCAAGATAAAGAAACAACCAAACTGCAGAGAAACAGAGTGATTATATTCAAACGAGAAAAAGAGTCAACACAGAAATTATAACCCTGAAACGAAACTTTTAGAAGGCTTATTGTCCAACTGAAGCATGATTAATAGGGCGGGCAAAAGATAGTTGCAACTTTGATTTGGACCTAATTTTTAAATATTATCAGGAAGTCTAAATTAAACTTTCCTTACGCTTGCTGAATGATTTCAAATGTTCAAAGCACTAACAGCCACCTGAAAAATTCAAAAACCATCAAATCCGAATAAACCATGATTTGACTCGCACATTCGTCGCATTATGCTGATTGTCCATAGTTTACAAATTGCCTGGAAAAATGTAGTCGTTGGCGAAAGTTTTTGAGCAAACTCTCCTTTGGACAGACCCCTGGGAACAGACGTAACCTTGCCTCTTGAATTGCTTATAAAGCGATATGAAACTTTTTTTTGGTTGAAAACTTTCTGCCCATAAATTGTTCGAAAATGATGTTCGAGCTCAGGTGACACGGTCTGCTTACGAACAAAATTTCGAACTGATTAAATTTGATTATGTAGAGGCTGTTGCCCTTTTGGGTAGGCGAAAGTATTAAGGGCCGCTTAGTTTACAATTCAGAGTTAGAAGGTTGAAATATAAATAGAAAGAATCATCAGCGTCGCCTTACACTGAACCTGGCGCTTGATATTAAGTTAAGTTTAAAAAATAGAGTAATTTTAACCATCTAAAACATGACAAGCAAAGCACTACGCGGTCGTGTAATGCGATTTGGGAATTGCGGCATTTTGTTTAAAGCATCTCGGATATAAATTCCAGATAAAATTATACAAACGCCCAGGTGGCCTTATGCGATAACTGCATGATGCAGAATGCGGTTGAAAATCGTATTTTCTTTGAAACTGCATAGTGGAGAAAAATGAGCCACCTGCCTAGTATTACTACCCAAGATGGATTTCGTGTTCCTGAAGATTGATCGCAAGAGAGCAGAGCAAGAAAATTGTCCGGTATACGAACAATTGCAAGATAAGTTTAAAATAGTTTTGCTTAAGGCTCAAGGAAAAACGTTTGTCCTTTTTTATGGGCTTTTCCATAATATTGCCAAATTCGCCAATACGTTTGACTCTTGTTTGATATTTCTGGATTTATGGGCAAACATCCAGAATTATCTGCCACGACAAAGTTCTAAGAACAAAGTGAGCGTTTCAATTAAAAATGTCCTTAATTCATTTTTATTCTCTAGTCCACGATTATTTCGCCTTTGTTTTACTGCACATTTTACGAGCGCCAAACTTATAAAACTTCCTACATAAATAATAAATTCCGAAGTGCTGTTTCCGCTGACTTTGAAACTGTTTTCTGCTGCTCGAACTCCGGATCTAGCAGCTTCAGGCCCTTAAATATTGCATTGGACACTGGAGATGTGTCTCTTTTGCTGCAATAAAATTTTTATGGGCTATTGCTAATGTATAATATTTAACATTCAGGTACATACTTGCGAAAGGAATTCGCTAGAGGGCTATTTGCATGCGAACATCTCAATTAGTTTTGGGGCAACAATAACACTTATGTATACGCAGTTTGAAGCAAAATATGATTAAACCCGAAAGTCAGGACATTATGCTGAACCACATGAAGAACTGGTTGTTCTCAACATTTTGCTTGTTGGTGAAGTATTTTTGAAAAGTTCTCGAACTATTGAATCAAACTTGGTCAATTTGGGAACCAGTGTAAGGAGAGTGTAAAAAACGTTTCACAGACGAAATTTTCCATTTTCATTACAATTTTATCCCGTTTAGGAACGCTTTCTTAATGTGTGCTCTTTGAATAAAAAATGTAAGTTTCCTATAAATATTTGTAAATACGCAAAAAATGGCACCGTTTCGTTTTCGTTTCCCTCAATTTTCAGGCTCATTGCCTTATGTTATAATAGATTGGACATTTTTTATATTATTTTTTTGTTATATTTCAACGCCAATTTAAATATGATTATTCCATTCGTGACATGAACAGCAATCGAATTACTTCTTTTATTAGCGTTGGTAAATATGAAATTATTTTCGTTATTTATTAATTGGTTCGCCGTTTCACTACACTTAATTGCTCTGTGTATAAAGTAATTTATTTATTTAATCCATCGCTTTGTGAGCTTTTCAATGTAGGGCAGAATTTAATAAATGAATTTTGCAAACTTGTTATATTTTTTGAGCCAATTATTCCATTTGAGTTCATTAGAATAACAAACGCTATTATATTTCCATTAAAAAGCCCCGAACGTTGTTTTGAGGAGAAATGAAAAAACGACTAAACAAGCAGACTTTTAACAGCATTGTCGTCCGATTTATGTCTTCCTTAATGCCAATAAAACCGAATTATTTCAACAGAACTCCTCATAAGCGAATTATTCGGAATTTTGCTCGGTTGATTTTCAAGTACGACTCATCTGAGTTAATTCGACGAATGAGACTAAACTCATGATATTTACAGTAAAATTTCGAAAGACGTAATGTTTGAAACAACCTCGTTGGTTGGGATTTAATGCGTTTATAATGCATTTAATCCTTTAATAAGTATCTACTTTCTATTTCAATAAAATTCGTTATTGCTCAGTAAATTTTGCATCTGAACTATCTTAATTTGTTTTCTAATGGTCCCGAAATTGCTATGAGCCATTAATAACCGGTTTTATAATCGGAAAATAAACAGGCATGAAAATTTATATGGGAGATTCGGGATTATTTTATCATTTTGCAATTCAAGCAATCAATGCCGCTATCTGTTCGACGCTTATATTAACGAATGTTGCAAATTGGTTAATAGGAACATTAAAGCCTTCAAATGTAATAAATTGCTTCGGGTAAATAATGTTCCGGATAATTTGAAAAGTAAATTTTCCCCAAGTAAGTTAACTTTTCAATAACCCGAACTGACAATTAATAGCACCCTCGAAGTTTGTTAACATCGCGCCCCCCAAATGAGTTCCTTTCGATTGAGTGAACTTATTTGCGATTAAAAGGATATTCCAGCGTCACATCTTGGATTTCATTAAGTAAAGTATCTAATTGGAATCTTTGATTAATTATCTGTTGGTGCAGAAACGTTATTTTTCTGGAACCTTCTAATGCGAAACGCCCTGGTCGTAACGTTGAATATACATTATTTATTGAAACCCCGATTAGACTTCACGGCAGCAAACTTGTAGCTGAGATTCCACTATCTAAAGCAACTTTGATTATCTTTAAGTCTTTTCAAATTGTATTTAAACTGGCAGCTTTACTTAGCGAAATTAGTTGGCAAGCAAGTTTGTGGCGACTGTCTTGGAATTTCAATTTCCTCAAGTATGGAAAATGAAGTATCAAGCAAGTGCAATTACTGAGCGCAATTAGTATGATTTGTTGGGACTAAATAATTTACACTCTGAGCTGTAACTTTAAATTTCATAATTTATATACTAGAAATTATCTACTAGAAATAGAAATAAGGTCCAACAGTGGGGTTCTTTTTAAAATTAAAACTGAATTTTTGCGTTCGTTCAATTAAATAGAAGCACTAGGAACTGAACTTCTGTTTTCTGCCATTATCATCTTGTACATTCTGCTGGGGAGTATGGTTGGCGAAGATACGAGCAAAACGTCACTGGTAATTACCCAAAAGCTTCACATTTTCGAAAAATGCTCTTAAAATTAAGGATTATCATTAAATCCTTAAAATGCACCGTATTGAACTTCTCTCTGAATTTTTATTCGATGAAATTTAACACATTTTATCGAAATCTTCGACCTAGTTCGGATACGTTCCCCCCAAATCCATGAATCCCTAACAGGAAAATATAAATGTTTACCTTTGCTAGTTATGCAAAACACATTGACATAAATAAAAGTGACGCCTTTGAGATCAATCCATATATTTTGAAAATGTATAGATTTGCCTGCGGTTTATTTCGCTTGTTTCTCGGGAAATTGGAACTGGGGACTTTGTTCCTTTGACAATAAAATAGAATTCCTGGCTTCTATTTAAGCTTCTGGTAGCTTCAGAGACAAACAGGTTTGAACTTTTACTCAAATAAAAAAGCTTTAGCTCTACATGTTTTTTTCGGACGGTGACAAAATTTAATGACTAAGAATCCGTCCTCAATCCGTCTGCGTTGAAAAATGTGATTTCGTATGAAAGTGAGCGTTGCCTGACTGTTAAACTGTTTTCAAATAAATGAATCCGGATTACGATTTTCGCTTGATGTAAATAGGACTTTGCTCTTTAAAATATACTCTAATTACTATTCAATTGCTTTATAAAAAAACACATTCAATGGGTGATTTTTGCTATAAAAAGACTTGCATTTAATTGGCTTTGTTTCGCTTTAATAGAAACATTTTTTTATGGAAAGCAACAACCAACAACGCGGCTGCGAACGGTAAATAAACAGCTATGGAACTGTTGCAATTGCAACTTAGGGATGAGCGCTTCATTTTTAAGGGCGCTGCTTTGATCATGACATCCACAAAAGCTCCATTATTCTGAACATTTTAAACTCGCGGGCAGTTTATTTAATTTTAATATGTTTTTATACGCCACAATTTCATTGTTCACTCGAGGTGAGCTGTTCGGTTCTCCTCTTTCCATGATCCACATCGTGCCAGATGGATCCTCTTCCACTACGCTCACCGCGTTTGAAGCCACTTCTTCAGGCCTGAAATTACCCGGGATCAAACTATGCCCAACCATCCGCCTAATTCTTACTTTCGTCCGGGTGTTGAATAAATAATATTCCTGAGCTGGTTATAGTCCGAGCTGAGGTTTCGATTGTTCGATTTCAGGTCGGTCACCTGGACAAGTTCTCACCACTTAGTTCTATTGAAAACTTCCGGTAAACCTTATGACAAAGTTAAGCCGTGAATAGCGAATTTTGAGGCCGAATAGACTGGCACTAGAGAGGACGGTTTCACTCCAGCTATAGAGGATATGTTAACTATATCTCCAGGCTGAAGTTTTTATTGTAATTTTCCAGACTCAGAAGATCGTCATTAATTGTACCGTTTTGAAATTGACGAAGCGTCCAGTGGATAAATTAATATATTGACTTTGTATTTAGCGCAAAAATAATGTATTATTTCAATTCTGATAAAGCTTTCATCAAAGCCCTTTTGAGATTGTTTGCTTACCGTATCGAATCCCTAAAGATTCCGGAATTTTTGATTAAAATAAACACATTTCCAAATACCCTGAGTGTCTCTTTAAACACGTCTGAAAAAGCGTTAAGGAAATCCTTAAAATAGTAGTTATTGGATCTAAACAGTATTTGGTCCCATAAATTTCATCCTCAAATCGATCATAATTCTAACATCAGTTTCGACGACGCCTTCTTCGCAATCTTTCGATTTCTGCAGAAACATCTGGTATAACAACAGCCGCAAAAAAATTGTACCTAAGAGTCTATTAGAAACACAAATTGCAAATTGTCCATTGCTTAATTTGTTTTTATAAAAATAAATCGCTGCTTGTGCCACCTGTAGTAATTTTTAAAAACATTTTTTTATTTCGTTCCGTCTGCTACCGTTATCTCACGTTGTGTCACATGGAAAGTTTTCAACATACAAAATGTTTTAATGTTCTTCAAGAGATTACAGATTGTTTACATAATCACGGAGTTATCGGCGCGTTTAACCCCAAAATTATATTTTTTTTCCAATTTTGTACCATCAATAGTTTTGGCCTAAAATCACTTGGCCTAAAATCCGTTTTTTTATAAAAAGTATCCGATGTTTGTGCAAGTTCCTGCTCTTAACTTGCTCCGAACTCCAGGTAATTTCACGCTTTCGCTAAATTCTAAGCAAAACCGTAAGCAGAAATTTACTAAAGCAAATCGAAGCCCAAGTCAAAAACTTGTTAATATTTCTGGTTTTTGCTGCTTACCATCTGCGGTTTGATACCATCAAGGGTACTTGAAGATCGACGGTTTGTTTAACCAGATAAAATATAAAAAAGTATCGTAAACATTTCCAGTGTCGCACCTTTACTGCACAATTGTATGATTTTTTAAATACACAGTTTATGTGCAGCGTTCAATAAAAATGGTACAATGTATTGAGAGGAGTAAATATTTATTCATTGCATTCCCACCTTGCCTTATATAAACTGACCTTTCATCCACTATTTGATATCTCAGAGTGCAACGCAAAAAACCTTTCTAATTTTTTATAATCATCCATAAATCTTCGCCATGCCATGTTTGCCTTTAAGGAAACTAAACCTATTATTATTTAGCAATTGAACAGCAAACTCGAAACCTAGGCCAGAAACCCACCAGGCACCAGTAATAATAGCAACTTTTCCTTCTATGTCAAAGAGTACCACGCTTATAAGTTATTGACTGGCGCATCTGTTAATAAACCGCTACTGCAAATTATTATGTAGATCGATTTGCATGTCGATGATGAACCAATGTACGCTAAGTTCATGTTATTGGTTCTTTGTAATTATTTACTTTGCATGCAAAAGGCAAATGTTAATTAAGGTTTGAGATCTGCATCAATCTTGCACTTGTTCTATCTATGTAAAATGTGAAATCAACACAAATTCCTATAAAATCCAGTTTATTGTTAAAAGATGAAACTACAATTTATGACGAAGAAATACTTTCGGTTGGTTAAACCGATCTGGTAGCTGGAACTGAAAGGGTGGTTCCCCACCTTCCAGTACCCACATGGTGCCAGTTGGGGCGGACTCAACAACGGTCATAGCATGAGGCCCCACATCCTCAGGACTGAAAATAGGAAATTCAAAAGTTCAAGCAGGTTTCAAGAAAGTTGCTCAATTCGTACCCTTGTCCTGGCACCGCTTCAACAGTGTAGAGCAGTTCTTCATAAGCAGCCCCAAAAGTTCTGTTTGCAACTTCAGTCAGCATGGGAGTTGTGGTTGCTCCAGGGCAAATGCCCACAACTCTAACTTTAGTTCTGTTGTAATGCTCAACTGACCCCCACGACAATGTTAAGCCGTGTATCCCAAACTTGGTAGCCACATAAGCTGGCATTAGAGGCAACGGAGCTATTCCAGCTATAGAGGATACGTTTACGATCAGGCCTTCTTCTCCAGATTTGTTATTTTTTATGTAATTTTCCAGGGCCAGCAACACCCCGTTAATGGTGCCTTTCTAGAAAATCGACACTTTTTATGAAATGGTTCGTGTTTTCTGGAAAGATGTTTTTGAGAAACTGAACAGCTACTAAGTTGGTTTTTTTTTCAGGAAAATATGCTTAAAGCGCTGTTTTTTTCAGTAACGATATTTTTCAGCTTTGGAAAACATTTAAGAACACATTTAATAATCGACTAGAAAAAAAGCTCAATTGAATAAAAAACATTAAAGTCTTTATACAAAAGTGAAACGACTGGATTCTTCTATTTTTCTATGGATTCAAAACGCCAAGAGCTAAAAATTAATAAAACTTTTGAATTATTTCTCACATTATAAATAAAACAAAATCGAATGGTATGCTTCAGAAATTTAAGCAAAGGAACCGAATTTTAAATATTTTTAAAGTCCTTAATTCATTTAAGTTGCCATTTTTTAAGCAACTAAATTAAAAAACCACGTAGGAAAAAACAGAATTTTAAAGCGACTTTTGCATATATATATTCAGTTATTCTTGCTTAACAGTTTATTAGTACACTCTTTATTAGATATCTTTTTTTTCGTAAATAGTTTGTTCTGTATTGTGCAATAAGGACATTCTCTTAATAATTCCATAATGAGAAAATTTTGTCACTTTTCTAAGAAAAGCTTTTGGCTGCGAAAAGCATTCAAAGGGGGTTTACTCACCAGATTAATTTCAATTTCTCGTTGCCAAATGGAGTCGTTGAATATTCCCGCATTGTTGATTAAAATATCCACGTTTTTATAGGTACTGACTGTTGTTTTAAACACATCTGGAAATGCATATTTATCAGAAAAGTTGTGGTTATAAAAGCAATTTATTTTTATGCTTGAATTTGGCTGGGCTGTTGATGTACAACATTTCAAAAATCAGTGCACTTTTTAAAGAGCGCACTATTCGCCTGGTACGTACTTTCAAATTGATCGTAATCTGAAACATCAGTTTTAATAAAAATGGCCTTATTTAGACCAAACTCCTTTTCAAGCTGCAAAACCGCTTTCTGTCCGGATTCTGGCAATATATCTGCCAGAACTACAGCCTAAAATTGCAGCTTGTTAGATGTCTGTAAAAAACTGTTATTTTCAAGAAACGGGAATTAATCCTGCACCTCGTTTTTGAATGCATTTTAAAAATATCCGTTATATCATAAAATATTCAAAACACCATTTTTTGAATAGTGGTCTTCGAAAATTAACAGCTTGGCAAAATTGGAACTTTTCAATTTATTTGAGAAAAAAATTAAATATATTTCCACATACCTTGGCTTGTTTTTTTAACAAATGACGGGCAAATTGGAAACCTAAACCAGCTGCACCACCAGTCACTACAGCGACTTTTCCCTTAATGTTAAAAGCTGCCATCTTTCTACAAATCTGCCAGCTGACTGAAAAAAGACCACGGAAACACTTATAAATGTGCCTACATTCCACTACCCAATCGACGAAGAAGACTGATAATGTAAGGTCAATGAAATCAAAAAAAAAATCTTAATTAACAAATTAAGTATGTCACACATATATGTCGTGTACTTACTTAGTTGGGAATGGTGCAAACAATATGAATCAGTCAACTATATCAGTTATCGTTTTATAATAATTAACTCGTTAAGGCAATATTAGTTTTTTCTTCATTTAATCCACGCGGATAACATAGCAGTTTAATCCAAAAACAAATCATATATGATTTGCCATAATCTTCAAAGGAATTTGGAAATTTGGATTTAGTTTTGGCATAATCCGGTCATATTTCATACATTGTTTTTCTGTCGGTGTTACAACAAATATGAGGTACAGTGTAAACTAGACGAACCACTTATCACGTCACAGATAATAAAATTAGTTAAATGTAAACAAAACGAACATTGAACAATGAAACTGCATCTATCATTCGATTTTTTACGTGGCAGTTGCACGCTTATAAGCTCTTTATGGTGTTTTCGTGATTTGCCAATGAAAACTTCAATGTTCAAAATTTCATCGCTTGGAACAGCAAATAAAATATTTATTCTTGCAACCTTTATAAATTCTTTGAAAAATTTCAATATACAGAACGGCCGCGGAATCTCTTACATTCAAAATACTGTGGCGCTGTTTTTCAGCAACTTTTTGCGCGCTTCAGAATATGCTTTCGAAATACAACTAGAAACTCGTTGGGACATTCGAAACTGAACTAACTGTCATTGTTTCATAAATAAACTATCTACAAAGTTTTTTGGAAACCGCGGCTAATCGCCTTGACTTTTGAAAATTTATATTAGCAATATCAAAGAAGCTTTACTCCATTTGGGGTAAAGCTTCTTTGAGATTTCTTTGAGGTAATCATCAGGTCAAAAACTAGCAAACAGTATTGGTCTAAATGTAAACATATATATACATATATAGTCTGTATCATATATGGTCTGTATGTCTAATGAACTGTATCAAAATTCCTTCAATTCTCTGTGTCGGTATCTATTGAGTCTCTTATCAATAAGGATCATTTTGATATAAGGTTTATTGGGTCTGCGGGTAATATTTTACCAGATTTAAACAGTTAAAGTTGAATATAGGATCATATAAAGATTGCTACCTTAATTTTTTTAATGGAAGTGCTCATATACCATTATGCTGTATTGAAGGTTTTTCTCAAAAAAGGCTAAATTGTCAATACAAGTTTCTGAGAAGATCGGGTGTAAAATAATCTTATATTCACTTGTTGCACTTTCATAGTAATGATATTCTTATCTTTCCTGGGCCTCAGTCAAAGTGTGAAGTAAGAACATCGTTTATCGGACATCGGACAAACTAACTAATATTTAAAAAAGAGAATGTAACATAAATTCAGTCTGAGAAATACTAGTGAAAATAAAACAGCATTAACACAACATGCACATCAAATGTTACATCATTTTGATTTTAACAACGCAGATATATTAGTTAGGGAAGCAAATTGTCATAAAAGAAGAATCAAAGAAATTATACAAATAAATAAAAACATGCAAAAGCATTAAATTTCAGATCGGATACCGACAACCTTAGCAACATTTATCAAACCCTACCTAATAAAGCCATAAGTATGGAACACCCAGTACACTAGTGAAAAATTAAAGCTATTTCTGCTTTTCTCAATACATACATACCATTCTCGCAAATGTAGAAAATAATTCAGACAAATTTAAGGTTTCAAGAAGGCAAAGACCTAAAAGAACGTTGATTTTTACCAGTCATGAGGTAAGTTTTTCCAGTGTTTTGGTCTCCCAAAAGGAAGGGTTTCTTCCCTCAGAAACTGATGTTTTAGCGTTTCATAAATTATAGTTTTTATACGACATGTTTTAATTGTGAATTGGTGTTTGCAGTTTGTGAAAATTTTAATTCTGATAATGGCGCTGTTGTCTCGCCGAAACGTAATGAAATAAACGATGCTCAAAGTTGTTACTTCACACTTTGACTGAGACCCAGAAATGATAAGAATATCACAACAACTACACGCAATCAGCAAAATAAATCAGAAATTTTATAGTAATGTAGGAAATTATTTATATGTTTGGAAAAGAAGTACATAGTTGGATTGGACTTCTTCTTCTTTGAGTGCCGTCTGCTATCGGAGGTTGAATATCATCACTGCTATTCTTACTTTTTTGCCGCTACTCTGAAAAGTTCTATTGATCTACCACCAAAGAAATTCCTCAAATTTCTCAACCATGAAATCTGAATTTCTCAATCATGAAAATTGCTCCTTTTTCCCCTTATCTTTCCTTGCATGATCACTCTAAGGCATTTCATGTCGATGTCCTCTCATTATATACCCCAAGTATTGCAATTTTCTTGCCTTTCTTGTGTTAATTACTTCAGAGTATTTACCCATTTCTCGAAGTATGTCCATGTTCGTTCTTTTTTCTGTCCATGATATTCTAAGTATCCTTCCATAAAACCACATTTCAAGCGACTGCAGTTTGTTTATATGCTCCTTTTTAAGCGTCCAGCCTTCCGATCTAACATACAGTAGAACAATCATTAATGTTGAAATGTTCTCACTCTTAGTTCTATTGTGAGGTTTCTGTGAAAACCCGAGAATGTTTTTCTATCGCATTTCTTGACGCTTGTTGGTAGTTATTTCCTGTAATCCAGGTGCCCAAGTAGTTGTATTTTTGAACCCTTTGAATTTGTTGGTCCCATACATGTATGTTTAATTGTATGCTTGTATTGGGCGCGGTGGAGCAAATGAATGGCCACCTAGATCACCTGACATAACACAAATCGACTTTTTCCTATGGGGTAATGTTGCGGTTGAAGTTTACAAACAGTTCCCAACATTAGCTCTATACATTAAAGCCAGAATTGGCCAAAGTCTTTGAAATTGTTCACTTTAAACTGAAACTTATCGTTTATAGTATGCGATGCGCTAGTGGAAACAGAGAAAGATCTGATTGCAGAAACTACAGCCCTATGAATGAGCTCGCAGGAAAAATGTACGATGTTTGAACAGTTTAAAGAACATTTGCACAATTACTCAAGTATTATTGGGTACGAACAAATCTAAACTCGGTAAAACGGTCTTAAAGTTTCGTAAAACCCTTAAGGGAACATTTTGCGAAATGGGTTTTCCCACGCAAATGTCTTCTATTGATGTCCTGATAATCATGTATACATTTTCACTATCTTTGAATCATGGTTATTGTCTGATGCGGTAAAAGTTATTTTTATTGTGTCACCCAACATTTACTCGCCATAACATGGACAGCTTTAAAGTCATATTTTGAAGTAAATATTCTCGTTTTTTTATAAATCCCGTTTATAGCGTTATTTGCCTTTGGGTCCCGGTTTAGCAGGCTTCTATGTCTTCCTAGTTATCTTCTAATAGGTTTCTGGCTAACATCGCTTTTGTAATTTTTTGTCTTTTTCTTTTTTCTTGACGTTTTCTTTTGAAGTATTTTTCCTCTATACGCTTTACAGGCGGGTACCATATTAATTGTTGCTTGTCTATATCTTCCACCATTGTTCTTTTGTTGGTTCTCTTATTTCGTCATTTCTCACTTGTTCTATCAGTTCAACTTCCCGTACATTGGCCTTAAGTCTTTGTGTGCATCATATATTCTTATTTTGTGTTCCAGTGTTATGTTTTTCTTTAATCATTTCAGTATCCGGCCCTCCGTTTCTTGAATTTGCCAATTTTCTCCTTGATATCTTTCTCAGTTCGGCTTACGTTCATCAGTTTGATTCCCAGACAGATGCATTAATCACTCAATCATTTTTTTATTTTTCGATGTTTTAGGTCCAGGTCATCTGCTGGTTCTTCACCCACACGGATATTGGTTTTTGTTCAAATTTTACTTTATGTACTTTTGCCTTGAGCGATTACCACCTGGTTATCTGCATAGTGCGAGGTATATAATGTGGTGGATCCGATATTCAGTCCGATTCTCTTGCACTTTTTTCCATTCTCTGAGAGAATTTTTCCCATTCTTCTATCCTTGCGTTGCGCTATTATTCTCCGCATGTTTATAGCTGAGGTTATTGCGTTTTGCTTCTTGTACCTTTTAATTAGAAAGACTAGACATAGATTTAGTTAAGGACATTAAAATGAGATTAGTGGTGCTTGAACTGCCATAACTATTTGTTTATTCATTATTTACCACTGTTGCTGTACACTTTTGGAAGTACATTTGCTTGATTTGCGTTTATTGTATTTAGAGTTATTTAAGAAATATTTTGGGTGCAGTGAATCGATCGGGTATTTTAAACTGATAGGGTGGTTCTCCTCCTTCCAGTATCCACATCGTTCCAGATGGGGCCTTTTCAAGAATCGTCATTACATGCGGAGCCATGTCTTCTGGACTAAAATTCGTGTTAAAAATTCAGCTTTGACCTATCGATTTCTAAAATTTTTTACGTACCTTTGCAAAGGAAGTGTAGTCAGTAAGTCGGCGAATCGCTCATAGTCTGGACCGAAAGTCTTATTTGCGGATTCCGTTAATAGTGGAGTAACAGTGAGTCCTGGGGCAATTGCGACCACTCGCACTTTAGTGCGATTGTAATGTTCAAGCACACCCCAAGATAATGTTAGGCCATGTATGGCAAATTTGGTTGCAACATAGCCGGGCATTAGACCATATGGAGCTGTTGCTGCTATAGAGGATATGTTTAATATCAGCCCTTCGTCTCCGGATTTGAAGTTTTTTATATAATTCTCCAGCCCTAAGAGAACTCCATTTATTGTGCCATTCTAAAAAAGTTCACTTTGTTATTGCCAATTGTGAGGTTTCAAAATTTTTATTACTCACCAAATTAATAGCGATTTCTTGTTGCCAAATTGAGTCATTGAATATGCCGGCATTGTTTATTAATATGTCCACATTTTGAAACGTGCTGATAGTTGTTTTAAACACATCTGAAAACGTTAATTCATTAGATATGTTGAAAGTTTCGCGTATGAAAAAGTTTCAATTAAATATTTGCTTACTTTCAAATTGATTGTAATCTGTAACATCTGCTTTGATGAAAATGGCCTTTTTTGCGCCAAACTCTCTCTCAAACTGTTCAATAGCTTTGCGTCCAAGTTCGGCGGATACGTCTGCTATCACAACAGCCTGAAATTGTAATTTAATCAGCAAATATATTTTAAACCTCTTAGATTCATTCTATATTACGCGCGACTTTTAACAATCTTTCCATATAAAGTGTTTCATATCTTTTTGCAAATGAAAACGCCTATAAGTGTTTTATATGAATATGAATAATGTAGAAGCTGTTTTCCCATTAATTGCACTCATACCTTGGCTTGCTTCTTTAACAGTTCAAGAGCATAATGTAAACCCAGTCCAGACGCGCCACCCGTAACAATAGCAACTTTTCCTTTAATATTAAAAGATACCATACTGGCTGAGTACTCGTGGTTGACTGAGCACCAATAATACTCAATCTAGCGAGGAAACTGGGAAGGTCAATGAAGCCTCAAGAAACATTACGAGATTAACGATATCAGATATACAGGGTGTCCCCAAATTAGGTGTGGCCA